AAGGGATCATAAAGAAAGCTGATTTCTTTAGATCCAGATTGGTATGGCAAGAAGATGAGAATGTAAAAAAGTACCATCTAGTGAATTGGAAAGAGTGCTGTCGACCTAAAGACATGGGGGTTTAGGGATACTGAATTTAGAGATTATGAATATTGCGCTCCTAGCAAAATGGTTTTGGAAAATGGAAAATGAAAGAGGTCTGTGGCAGGATGTTTTGGATAGAAAATATAGAAAAGGGAGATGTTTAGCTTTAGTAAACAAGAAGCCTGGGGATTCCCAATTTTGGGCTAGTTTGTTGAAGATCAAGGAAATATTCTATAGATTTGTTAAGAAAAAAGTAGGGGATGGGAGGAATACTAGGTTCTGGGAAGATACCTGGGTGGATGATAAACCTTTGAAAGAGGCTTACCCTAGGTTGTATGATATATGCTTTGACCACAACATTACTGTGGAAGAGGCTATACAGAAAGGGTGGGGGGTTCAAATTTAGAAGAACATTGCATGGGGAAACTTTAGGGCTTTGGAATTGTTTGAAAAAAAGATGTGAGGAAATTCATTTGCAGGGAGGGGCAGACCAAGTTCTCTGGACCCTAACTGCAGATCATAAGTTTTCTGTGGGGTCCTTATATAGGAAATTGATAGCAGTTGGGATAAACTTCCCACAGAAATACTTATGGAAAACAAAGTTGCCTGAGAAACTGAAAGTGTTTCTTTGGTTAGTTAGTAAAAAAAGTATATTAACTAGGGATGTGCTGCTTAGAAAAGGCTGGAAGGGTGGGAAAGGATGTGTGTTGTGTGGGAAAGATGAATCAATTGACCATTTGTTTTTTTCCTGCTCCACTGCTTCACTGTTGTGGGGTTTGGTCAGATGTGTGTGTGGATTTAAAACTGTCCCATCAAATGTAAAGGACTGTTTTGGGGGGTGGATTAGGAAATTTAATAAAGAGGAGAAAAAAATGGTTCTGGTGGGGATTGCAGCCCTGCTTTAGGCAATTTGGAAAAGCAGGAATGCAATTGTCTTTGAAAACAAAAGGATAAATGATCCTTTGTATGTTGTCAAACTATTATGCAGGTGGTTGACTGACTGGTCCGTCCTGCAGATAAAGGAGTCGTCAAGAAAAACTTTGGAGCTGGGAGCAAGGGTGCTAGAACAGGCAGCAAATGAGGTGTTCACTGCTAAGCAGGGATGGAGGATCAATGTGGCAAGGCTGGAATGAAGCTTCTCTTGCGAGGGTGAACCTGATGTTTGTTGCTCCTGATGACAGAACCCTTGTGTCCTTTCTTGCTTCTTTTGCTTTAGCTGTAATGATGATTTGGCAGTTTGAACTTAGGGGTTAATTTGTACTCAGGTTGTTGGAATTCATGGTGCCCCCTGCTGCTAGGGATTCCTGGTGGTGTTGGCAGCTGTGTTCTTTTCTGTTCTTTCTCTTTTTTTCGTTTTTATCTCGCCTGTAGAACTCGGTGGTTTTCAGTAATGAAAATCGGAAGGGGCAAGGCCCTTCTTTGATAAAAAAAAAGGACATGCAGCAGCCGACTAAAACTGAAGAAAAATCGTCAAGCTGACGAACATGCATCTTGTGACATTTCATAAATAATACTGGCCTGACAGGTCAGTTCCAACCCCCACCCCAATCCATTCCGACAAGCCAAATTAGTTGGTAGCATTGGGATCAAATTTCTAGACAAAAGTCCACAATGGTAAGTAGACCAATTGCAATGGAGTAGCTACTAGTGCCGGTTTATAAAACCTGGGTAGCTAACCATATGATGCAAACAAACATTTCAGTTCGATCAAGAGATGCTAGATCTGATCTCAAAAACAAAAACAAAAGAGAGACAGAGAGATGCTAGATCTGCACATCAGCTTTGTTACCATCGGTTCGGCTAGGCTGTCGTTCTCAGAGGTAAGAAGAAACTAGTGTCAACGCTGACTGTGCTCCCTCCTCTTCTTTACCCTGCTTCCGTGGGAAGTTATGATGGTAGGCTGACGACAAGCAAGTCCTGAAATCTGAAGGGAACTGCAGAGGAGCCGAGCCTATCGAGGATGTGTACGCCTTGAAACGCACAACACGACTATTGTACTTGTACTCAGAATTGCACACGGAGAGTGAACAGACCTGCCGAACGCCGAACCTGCTGCAACTCGGCAGCGACGTGACCGTGCCGCGGCTCGCCTCGCGGGCATTTTCACTGTTTTGACCCGCTTGCTTAAATTTAGCACAATTTAACCTTATATTAAAAATATTTTAGAATCTGACCCATTTCAAAACGCCGTCGACTACGGCGTTTTGGTTACACGGAAGACGCCACTGCCTATGGCGTTTGACTCTGGCCCATACACAATAGCTGACGCTGATGTGGCAAAGCTAGACGCCATAGGAGCTGGCGTTTGCCCAAGACGTCACTCTCTTCCGTTTGGCCCAACCCCATAATTAGCAACTAAACAAATGATCAAATGGACTTGAGATATGTTTGCTAGCGCGTGGAACTGCATACTAGAATCAAAGGTTTTGAGTAATGTGACAAGCATTTTAATTATATTTTTATTCTAAATTGTGAACTGATTGATTATTTAGTGTAATTAGTAGTGATAATGTTTGGCTCTAACTATTTCCATATTGTTCGTCCATGTTTTTTTTATTTTTGTTTTTGTTTTGACATGTGAGCTGACTGATTATTCACTATAATTAGTAGCAATGTTTGTCCCCTCCTAATTCAGCATTGTTAGTTGGCCTGCAATTAACCAGACATTATATCATAAGTTTAATTAAAATAAACAAAACTACGCGTGGACCGGACGATGAGCTAGTACGCATGGCTGGCGGAACCTCCGTCATTGTCCGGTCCGCTGCCGTTGCCATCGTTGTCGGGTTCATTTCTGCAAACCTGCACCAAATCGGGACCTCCTCCGGCCAGCGTCACCACTGAGCTACCTCTAGTGCGACAAGGCGAGGGCACCGCAATCCATGCCCAGTCGCCATGAATAAGAAGGAGCCCTCCCTGGCGACCGTGGACACTGCAGGTGCCTCCTCTATTACCTCAGCCGCGGAGGCGCCGACACGTTGCAGCAGAGCACTGTGACAGCGTCCTCATGGCCGCGTTCGCGATGTCGACTGTCACCCTATAGTGCGTTTGGGCAGACCTCTACTTCGCATTGGCCTGGGCCGAGGACTAGTCCAAGCAGCGGAGGAAGCCAATCATCGCGACCTCCAGGCGGCAGCCAGTCAGAGTCGTCGTGCCCTTTCGCGGCTCATACGATGGCGCCACCGACAACGACAGCGGATCAGAAGACAACGGAGGTGCCACCGGCCAGGGCCGCCATGTATATGAGCTCACCGTTCGGTACCTCGCGTAGTTTCATTGTTGTTTTTTTATTTTAATTGAACTTATGTAATATTGTCTGGTTAATTACGAGTCAACTAACAATACTGAATTAGTTAGAGTCCAAATATTGCTACTAATTATGATGAATAATCAGTTAGCTCACAGGTTAAAATAAAATTAAAAAATCTGCTGACTAACAATATGGAATTAGCTAGAACCGAACATTACTACTAATTACATTAAATAATGAGTCAGTTCACAAGTAAAAAATACTACTAGTTACATTGAATAATGAGTCAGTTCACAAGTAAAAAAACATATAATTAAAACGCTTCTTCCAACACTCAAAACCTTTGATTCTACTCCCTCCGTTCCTAAACATTTGTCTTTCTAGAGATTTCAATAAGTGACTACATACGAAGCAAAATGAGTGAATCTATATTCTAAAATATGTTTATATACATCCGTATGTGATAGTCCATTTGAATCTCTAAAAAAATAAATATTTAGGAAAAGAGGGAGTAGTACACAGTTGCACGCTAGCAAGCACATCTCATGCCTAGTGATCATTTGTTTAGTTGTTATTTGTGCTATAGGCTGGGCTAGGCCAAACACCAAGAGCAGTGGCGTTTTGGGCAAACGCCACCACCGTTGGCGTCTCGCTTTGCCACGTCGGCGTCAGCTGGTGTGTGGACCAGAGTCAAACGCTATAGAGTGTGGCGTCTCCCGTGTAACCAAAACGCCGTAGTTTATGGCGTTTTGAAATGGGCCAGATCTGAAAATATTTTTAATGTAGGGTTAAATCGTGCTAAACTTAAGCGACCGGGTCAAAACAGTAAAAAAGTCCTCGCCTCGCCCTGACATGCCATTTCGTCGAGCGCCAAGCGCACGGCTCACCACGTCCGCGGCACACCATCGCCCATGAGCATTCTGTCGAGCACGTCAGCATGCGGCGCGGGACCGATCGTCCTCGCGACCGCATCGACGCCTTCGGTCACTAGCTAAGGCCGGTGCCATGTGCTGGACAGCGCTTTGCATTCTCGTATATTCCTCCCGGGGCGTCGCGGCGTAGGAGGTGGGAATGCACGGGCAGCAGAGCTTTGTTTGGGCGGGCGGGCTGGCCGGCCGCGGCGGTAGCATTAGCACACCAACCCGGGTAGCTTTCAGGCCGTGTTGCAAGAATTGCATGCAGACGAGATAGTTTAGATAACATCATAATGGGATGGGTAGTGTCGCTATCTGTTTCAACTTGCCAGCTAGGTACAGCATCAGGCTTTGTACGATAATATGCCATCAATCTGAACACCATCCAAGGGGGTGGATGAGTTCGGCAACAAAGAAAGAACTGCAATTGTTTACTAATATATCTGAATCCCAATGTATGTGTATATATTTAAAGAAAGTCCAAACTTGCAAGTTTTACAACAGTGCTGTTCAGTACTGATCAGTACACATGTAATACGCAACATGGTCATTGGCAAGAACAAACAAATAGCAACTGCCTTGCCAAGGTTACAGGTCAATTGTCCACGGGCAGCGACAGTGCAATCGAACGACACCTATATACATCCAACGGTGCACATTTCCCTGGCGCTTCGGAACTGGAGATGCATGTCAGTGCGGGAAACCGAATCTAAGTAGTTTTTGGTTGCCGGGTTCGGACGCTGTGTCAGCATTCAGCTCTCCTCTTCGAGCTCGTCAAACTCCCACCCGCTGATCTCCTCGGCTGAGTAATCTTTGCCGTCCTTCCCAAAGTCTGCTCCCAGGTTTGCAAATTCAGAATCAGGATCCAGCTGATGCTGCTGCTCAGGCTTCATGGGAGATTTTGGGGAGTCGACGTGTGCGGCTTTGGGGGTAACAGGTGCTTGGATAGGCGAAGGGCTCAACTCAGATCTTTCCTCAGGCAGTGGCTTTGATTTGTGGTCTTCGATGCTTAGTGTTGGCCTTTCTATAGATTCAAATGCTTCCCTCAGTTTCTCGATCTCGTCAATTAGGCTCTTCACCTCTGGGTCATCTCTCCTGAACAAATACTTGAAGTTCAGTCTTCCCATTCCAAAGGGTGGATGCAGATTAGAAAAATATTCATCAAGGTGAGAATAGCCGGCAATACCTGGAGTTAGCCCCATGCTCTGAATAGAACAACTTCTTTATGTGGTCTGCGATGCTGAAAGCAATGATAATCTGGAAATATTTGTTCACTGTCATCAGCCAGTTACAGTAAAACAAAATAAAATATCGAATACTTTGCTGGGCAAATGACAGTATCACTTAGGAGCCTGCTTCAACCATTTTCAACAATATTGTGTAAGATATATGCAAAAGAACACGCAAGAAATCAACTGGTAAAAGCAAAACAGGATTTGAATTTTGCAAATTATCACTGTGCTCCAACAGATATTGCCTTGTTCTATTGTAAATTTTCCTTGCACACATCTTGGTCTTCCTCTCTCTGTCAAGAAGCTAACCAAGGCGGCCCTTCTACCCTGGGTAGACAAGGCCACCGATCGGCTTCCACCGGAAAGCTGCTCTCATTCACCCTGCTGGTAGAGCGGTGCTTGTTAAGGCCGTTCCCACATTCATCCCAATATATTTGTTGCTGGCTATGGATGTTCCTCGCTGGTTGATCAAGGCAATCGACGAGAGAAGGCGGGCTTTTTGGTGGAAGGGGCATGATAATTTAATGACGGACACTGTGAGTTAAGGTGTGCAGACCTAAGGATTTTTATTTATTTTTTGCGAGTACAGACCTAAGGAGTTGTGTGGCCTGGGCATACACAATTTAGGAATTCTCAGCTGGGCTCTAAGAATGAAATGTTTTTAGATCCAGAAGACTGAACCTGACCGGTCTTGGGCTGTTTTTGACACATCAGTACCTAGTTACGCAGCAGCAATGTTCTCTAGCTCGGTCAAGACTGACTCGGTAACGGAAAAATACTAAATTTGGACTGACAGGTGGTTATTGGGTCGGTCTTTGAAGAATCTTGCACCTAATATTTTTGTTTGATTTCCAAACGTATTACTAAGAAGAGGACTGTCAATGATTTCAAAAAAAAAAAGGACTGTCAGAGAGGCTTTGTTGGATAATACTTGGATTAGAGATATCAGATGGACTGTTACAGTCCAAGCTCTGGAGGATTTCATTCAGATTTTGAAGGAGTGGAATTACAAGACGATGTGGAAGACAAACCCATATGGTCAGCCTTCGCATCAGGCACCTTCTCCTCCAGGCCGGCTTAGGAAATCTGAAGGCAGCACTACGTTTAAACCTTGGCAAAGACTTAGGAAATATTGGGCATCCCACCCAAAGCAAAATATTCCATTTGGTTAGCTTGCCTTCACCGATGCTGGACTTCTGATTGTCTTGAACACCAAGGTCTGCCTCAACCCACAAGATGCCCGCTCTGATCAGGTGGATGAGACCATTACTCATTTGCTGGTCGACTGTGTCTTCGCTGCACAAGTTTGGGTGGACACCCTACAGTTAATTGGCTTGGCCCAGGTGGCATGTGTTGGCCAAAATCATTTTTCCTTCCAAAATTTGTGGTTTAAGGCGACGCTATTAAAGCTGCTGCCTTGTGACCAAGAGGTCACGGGTTCAAGTCCTGGAAACAGCCTCTTACAGAAATGTAGGGAAAGGCTGCGTACTATAGACCCAAAGTGGTCGGACCCTTCCCCGGACCCTGCGCAAGTGGGAGCTACATGCACCGGGCTGCCCTTTAAGGCGACGCTATTAGTTGATTCTCATTGGCGAAAGGGATTCCACTCCTTGGTCATATGCTAGTTGCCTGGTTCCTTTGGAAAGACCATAATGGTTGTATTTTCAAGGGTAGGAATCCTAGCGTCAGTCAGCTTGCCCAAGAGATATGAGAGGAATCCACTCTTTGGTGTTCTGCTCGTGCCTTGGTTGGAGTCTCTTTGGTTGTGATCTTTGTTTGGTCTGGTGGTCGTTTGTTTGATTTGTCCTCGCACGCCTGTAATCCTGTCTGGTGTTTTTTTTATATTTTTTGGGTGGTAAGTGTGTTCAGTGGGTGTTATGTGTGAGTGTTGGGACCCTTTCTGGGTCTGTTCTGTTTTGTAATATTCTCGTAATATAATGAAGAGCAGCTCTCCTACCAGTTCGAGTTTTTCTTTTGTGTGCGTTTGTGTGTGTAAAACCAAGCTAAGTTGCTGAGTCGAACCTTCTTTTCAGTTTCCAAATATTCCTCCTCAAGGGATTTACGTGGGTTTGTCTTCTCTGATGCTTCATCATCTTCATGCTCTTTTGTCTCCTCCCTACAAGAGAAGTCCAACCATAAATATGAAGTCAATTGGCACCTCAAGTACATGTACCAGAAATAGAGAATAAAGTGATTGAAGTACCTTGAGTTCAAGGCCGCCAAATTATCCACATATGTTTGGATACTTTCAATAGATGGGCTTAGGACTTCCTGATGAATACAAAATTTGCAGATGACATAAACAACATGGAGACACATATCCAGGAGCATGAATGATATGGTAGACAAAAAGACTTACCTTGAAGGCTGAAAGATGATGTTTGGTCAACTTCAGAAAATCTCTCACACATCTCTCCAATTCATCACTGTAAAGGCCATAGCATATTACGACATTCATGCACAATAGATTACATAGAAGAACATTTTCTAACTAGAACTTCCACATGAGAAGGAGAAGCATCATATAAAAGAAGCAATCAGGGTACAGCAACAAGTGCTACATACCTTGTTTTCTTTTCCTTCTGTTCATTATATGAGGACTGTAGCTGCCAGGTATCCTCGAGGAAATTGATCCAGGTCTTTACCACATTTGCTTCCACATTACACGTGGCAATGGATTTCGAGAGGTCATCCTCCTGAGTTGGTGCGGATAGGAAACAAGTTAAGCACCATCTTGAGTACAAAATATGCTAAAACGAAGCTAAAGAGAAGATAAGCAGTATGACAAAAAGAATGTTGAATGCAGTTCAGTAAAGCTGAATCTGCTACAAAACAGGAAAGTATCAGCACCTTCGTTTTTAAACTAAATATGATCTGGTTGTTCGCTTCATCAAATTGGTCTCTCTCTTCCCTGGTTGTCTTGAGCCGCACAGCAGCAGCATTAATTGATATATTGACCTGCCAATGAGAAATATCTTCACAAACATAACTCAAAGAATATTCTGAAGATGGTGTGGGGCTGCTGAAGTCTAAAATTTCACAGCACATGTTAATATGTTATAGAAACAACACATAAACTTCTCAAGCAAGTGTAACAGAATGATATTAGTAGATTATTAATGCTTTGATTTAAACGAGGGGTAGGTGCATAATGGTGGATACTAATTGGATTTCCTATTTCAATTTATCATCTTATGGATATATCTCTACATGTAGCAGTTTTTTATGTCTCTTTTTTCGGATCAGTTGGTCAGACGACAAGCAAATACATGACTCATTGTTTTAGGCCAAATTATCAACTATTTTGTGTCACCAGTCACTCAGTCAGATACCCATAGCCTTACTCCATTGCATCTTGCACTCTTTGCATACTGGAAGATAATCTTGTCTCGGGCCTCATTACTGCATTGACAGTTTAAGCTTACCAATGAACAATTATAATAAGATCAACAGAGAAGTTACTCCATCGAATTTCAAGCAACTTGTGGGGTTATACCACAAATATATGTACAAGATCTGAACTCGGATTAGGCCGATAGGGGTGCATGCAATTAAAATCTGCAAGGCCCCATCAAAATATATCTCCTAGGAGCGGAAAAGGTACCTTTTTCAACTGAGCCTCAAGATCATCTCTTTGCTTCTCCAATTCAGTAATCTCAGCAAGCAATCCCTTTATCCGGACATAAAAATAAAATAACATCAAAGATGACACGGTAAGCAGGGGGGAAGACATAAAGGAGCACTTCCATATGCATATTTTTTTGTAGTCCCTCTGTTCACAAATGTAAGATGTTTTTGCAGTTTAATTTAAACTGAAAAAACGTCTTACATTTGTGAACAGAGGGAGTAGCATATTTGCATATCAATGCAGACATTAGAATATGTGCAACGAAACATTAACATAAAAACAGTCAGAGATTTGTGTTCTGAGGGGCCCATACTAAACAAGCATGACCGACTCCATAATATGCAAGCTTTAGGAAATAGGAAGCTTCAAATATAGGTGTACAGACACAGATATGTATCCTAAGTTTCCTAACTACAGATACTATTTAGCAGTTGACAACTGACAAAATAAGCTGACTGTATTTATCCTATTTGGGTCACAGGAATTCTGTAGGGGTTACAGAGGAAAACAAACATCCAGATCACTAGATGTGGGGAGTTCCCTACTGAACCAAATGAGTGATTTCAAGTTTCAAAATGGGCACACATTTCTATTAATTCGTGAAATTGAAGTCTCCAAATTACACCGATTTGCATGAATGCATACAATCTAGCAAACTTACCTTCTCAGCCGCATTCACCTCATTCTCCTTTTTCACACGAAAGTTCAGAGCATCTTCTTTCTGACGCCTGGTATAAGAACAAAATTAAGATATGATACTAGACAAAAAAATTCCAACAAAAACAGAACAGGAACATATCCATGAAGAAGCATAAATCTGTATTATTACTATACAAATGAGAATGACTATCATGGCAAATGTCTTCCATAAAATAAAATATATTTTTTCATGAAACTATAAAGCAAAAAATATTCTCAGAAATAAAACCTGTGGTCCATAATACGCTGCTCTGCTTTGGAGGATGAAGTAGAAAGGGAATCTGACAGGACCTTTAACTTATCAACCTGCAAGGTTTTGTAAAGATGGTAAGAGTTTTATGACAGGACCTTTAACTTATCGATCTGCAGGTTGCAGAATTCATTATGAAGCTACTGAAAAAGCTACTTGAAGTTAAAGCTGAAAAGCTTACATGGTTATCACTAGTCACCAAAAGGTAAATAACACACAGTTTTGAGCGACACAAATCTTACTTGCCAAACTTTATCGTGGTAGAACTATTTTATCATTCTTATGTAAGTCTATCGACTATCTCATTAAAAGTAGGGACTATCGCAATAACAATTTAAGGAATGTAAGGCGTCATAACTCAATAAGCTAAAACTTCCTTCCTTAAGGTATTGAATTTACAGTTTTGTGTTCGGAAACTTAAATTACTTTACCAGAAAATAGCTTAAGTGTAGGGAAGTGACGTACTGTTTCACATCAATATTTATTTGCATTTGAAGGAATTCTATTAGATGTGGACTGACAATATCAAAAAAGTTTTAAACATACAACCTAATAATACCTTCTGAGAATGAATCTCCATGGAATCTCCAGGAGCAATCGACTTCTTCTTCAGTAGAAGTTCTTCCACTCTAGAGCAAAAGCGGACTTCAGTAAGTGCTTCTTTTAAGGCCTGGAGAAAAACAAAAAACACAGTTACCATCTTCGCAAGCCTTAACAAGAAATATCACCAGAACAAGATAAAATGGATTGACAAAAAATGGAAAATATATTGGTCAATAGTAAATAGATTCAGTGCACATGTACATTAAGGAGGGAAAAGACAAATGACCGGAATTATGCAGGACATTTGTCATATGCATAAGAATGTATATCTAATCAGACAAAAACATAGCCCCTCCTTTATGAAATTGATCTTTAGAATGAGTGAAGTCAAACTTTCCTAACTTTGACCGTAAATTGCTATTTAGACTGATGGTGTGAGATGATGGCATTTTTTGCAGGATGATACAATAAATTTGTTATGTACGGAAACAGCCTCTTGCAGAAATGTAGGGAAAGACTGCATACAGAAGACCCAAAGTGGTCGGACCCTTCCCTGGACCCTGTGCAAGCGGGAGCTACGTGCACCGGGCTGCTCTTTTATACAATAAATTTGTTATGAAATGTACTTCATTAAGTACTACCTTTGTATAATTTTTATGCAAACATGTAACTATAAAAGTTATTTAATATGATGGCCAAACTTACATATGGGAGACCATGCCCATGCCCCAGAATGAAATATATTTTTGAACATGGAGATAAGCACAGGGCCATATATTTATCAAGGCAAAAAACGTTTTGAAACTTCTGTGAAATGAAATATTTGCAATTCGAATTAATCGATTACAAAGCCATCAGTGCAACTGATACAAAATAAATTCCCAAGCCAGATAGGAAATCATCAATGCAAAAGCCCTTTAGTACATCTAGCTATAAGTCTAGACACTAGCTAACAAACCATGACAAATAGAAAGGGAAGCAAGCACAAAGTAATAATATATATGATTATGTAACACCTCGATATTGGCAACAGCAATCTTCTCTGATGCTTTATCTTGACCTTCAGTTGATTGGGACCGTGATTTCTCCTTCCCATCTAATTTTCTCCACAATTCAAGGGTTTCAGCATCTATCCTGAAATTAAATACAAGGTGCAAACTAAGAAGCTAATATAGCAAGAGATCATAAATAAAAGCACCACGTATCTAAAAGTATGATACACAATATTTGACATCTTGAAGATTCGGTAGAGGCATCACATGAGTTTGGTTTCTACTGCAGGTGTCGTTACTTCAGAAAACAAAGAAAAAAGCAAACACCATTTGACTTTTTTTGTTGTTCTGCATAAAAATATACTACAAACTAGAATGTCTGACAAGTGAAAACACATCTGGAGATAAAACATACTCAAAATACAAGATAGCTAGTTAGAAGATTAAGTAAATGAGCAGTTCACCTCATAATATCAGCATTTCTCTTAAGTCCTGAAATGACATTCCGCGTGTATTCAAGTAGCTCTTCACGCTTCACCTGTTCACACATATATAATGAATTACTGGAATTGGGCATATTTTCCTATTTACAGAGCTTAATAATGTGTGGATCACAGTTAGTTTTTCACCTCGCAATTATATGAGAATACACACCTTGGAAAATATTTTCCAAAAATAAGAACTGCTAGCAAAAGGCTATCTGTTTTTGCTTATGAAATACTCCCTCCATCTCATAATATAAGATGTTATTACAACCAATAGTATATCAGTTGTAATAACATCTTATGTTATGGGACGGAGGGAGTAGTTTCTTAGGTTTCTGCAGTATTGCCTAGGTAAAGAGACACCGCATAAGCAATTCCCCAATTGCAAGGGGTAAACACAGTCAGAGTGTGAAACCCAACCAAAAGGATTTAGCATGGCCACTACAGTTTCGCCAAAATGTCTTCATGAAGAACACATTTAATTTCAAATATCCACCAGAATATATTAGAGAGATGCCTGTAGCCATGTATGGTGCGACAGAAAGGAACGTCTCCAACTCGGTTAGTTCTTGAAATAAAATTAGACAGCGGTTTTGAAGAAGAACACACTGCCAGTAAAAATTTCAGCCACTTCAGGAGTATAAAGGTAACAGATGGCGATAGATCCAAATGGCCCAGTTCAGAAGGGTCTACTTGGTGTAACAAATGATACTAAAGTTCTCCCTAGGACACACTCATGGTAATGTACAAAAACTACACAAGTAGCAGAATACTAAATACCGTTCCTAAACATCAATGTGACTTTTATAGAATATATGTAATTAAAGGCAATTGGGAAGTTACCAGGACTTCGTCTTTGTAATTCGAGAAAGCCTTGGCCAAGTCTTGTACATTGTTCATGATTGCCTTATTGACTTCTTTCCCACCAGTGAGACACAGGCTGTGAAACCCAACATTAGTTGCAAGAAAAGGGGCATTTAGTAAACTAGAAAACATTCACGGGTAAGAGATATGTGTGAACTGTCAAGTAGCTCAGATTGTACAGAATGCTCAGAAAAACTAAATTTTGAATACCTTTACTAAATAACAGTTAAGAGTGTTCAAGTGCAAGCGGAAAGCAAAGCACCTAATGTAAGGAACATGTAATGTTATATTGGATGGTAAGAGCATCTACAGCCGGGCGCCTCAAACCTTTTTTTGAAAATAAGAGACTTTTTTCCTCAAATGGTGGCTATATCGTTTACAATGTCGGAGAGAATAAAGTCAGGGATAGTATCCCAAGAGTAGGAAGATCTAGTACAATAAGAATGCTTAGCTAAACTATTTGCTACCTCATTAGCTTCTCTAGGACAGAAGGCAAAGCCAACATTAGCATCTACAGCCGGGCGCCTCAAACCTCCCTCGTACGCCCGGGTGGACGGACCAGTCACTGACCGGTCAAAAAAAACGACCCAGACGGGCGCCTCAAACCGGCCTCAAACGCCCGGGCTGACCGACACCCCTCATATCCAGCCCAAATATGGGGCGTCATATCCAGCCCAAATATGGGGCGGATATGGGGAGGCCCGGGCGCGTCCGCCACGTCGGACCCGGCCCACGCTGGCCCACCCTACCCCACATATATTCATCCCCATCCGCTCCCCGTACCAAACCCTAGCCACTCCCCTACGCCACCCAAGCTCCCGTCCGGCGATCTCCGGCCTTCTCCGGCATGGCGGGCAGCGGATCCGAGTCCTACACCTCCAGATCCGTCGACCCCGAGCTCATCCCACGTGGCCCCGAGGAGGAGATGACCGTCCGGCTTGCGCCCCAACGCTCCCGGGAGGAGGCCGCCCGACGGCAGCGCTCGGAGTCCTTCCGTCGGGAATCCATTGCATCCGCCCAAATGGCACATGGATTCGCCACGAGGTGTGTCGCGGCTGCCTCACCGAAGTCGGTGCGGTCCGTCTGGCGTCCAAACGCGGTGGCGGGCGCGCAACCCCTTCATTAGCGCGCCAAGCAGGAGGTGAACGCATGGGTGTCGTACGACGCAAACATGGCGAGGCATGTCCGCCATGCGAGGCAGCAGGCGCGGGAGACGGCAGCAACCCTCATGGCGGTGGATGTTGGCAAGGCGGGGTCACATTCTCCAGCGCCCCGTATGGTGCACCAGTCCAGGCGCTGCAACCGCATCGTGGTGGATGCCGCCGGCTCCTCCCAGGGCGGATCCATCATCGATCTCACGTCTACCGGCGGCGTCAAGGTTCTGGGCTCCGACGAGGAAGAGTAGGGCATGGGAGACGGCAGCGCCTTGAGTTCCGTGAGCCAGTCCGTGTCCCATGTCCTACTCTACCTCGCCGGCGACCGGAACAACACTCTGAGGGGCGCAGCCAGCCGCCGTACATGGGCACGGCGGAGCCGGACGAGCTCCGCTTAAGATTAGGTTTACGTTGCATGTAATAGTATGGATTTGAGGTTTCTAATTTGAGGTACCCGGTTGTGGAATCGATTATTTGAGGCGTGACTGGGCGCATCCGTGGGCGTTTGAGGGGTTGGATTTGCTGTATCCGGCTGTAGATGCTCCAAATTGCAGACTTGGAATAGAAGACGAGATAAAAAAATCCAGTCATTAGTTCATTACGAGTTGACCCAGAAAAGAGGTCAGAACTCTCACTCTACAACATAGGAATGGTACGAGGCAACAGAAATGCTGTTTATTAGAAGTAGGGAGTTGCTAACAGGATGCATATGTGAAGCTCCCATTTCGTTCTTTGTCATAAAATTTCAAAGAATAGCAAAGCTCAAAGTGAGTGGAGGACAGTAATAGTGTTGTAACATTTTATGAGGATTCACTTAAGAATGTTGATAAATTAACTCTGCAGGCTGAGAAAAGTTTAATTGCATTGAAGAAACATATTAGCAAGTTATTTTAGAAGCAACTCACCCATAAATTTCCAGAAGAAGTGAAACTTCTTCCTCAGATGGAGCTTCAAGAATCTGTTTACAGAAAAGGTTAGTATTGTCCAGCGTCAAACTAAGTAAGAACTAATAATAGCAGTCTACAATTCAGAAAAGAAAGAAATCGTTAAAATAGATAATAATTAATACACAAGAGACCAGGGCAGCAAGGTTGGGCCAACTCACCATGGACTGTGTAATATCTTCAAGTGCCTGGCTGTACAGGAACACATCACGGAAGTTCATAGGTGCTCCTTCAATATCAGGATCAACAAACAAAGTCTGCTCCAAACAGGTTCAGTTTACAGAAATATGTAAACTCAGGGGAGTCAAAAATATAACTAAGATACGTGCAGAAGAAGAAAAAAAGATGACAAAATCCAACCTCAAAATAACTAGGTGAAACAAACAAATACACAAGAAAGATGAACATGAAACACGCAGACTCACCAATGGCGGTTTTAAAGGATCCAATTCACCAGCAGAATCATGAACATCAGGATCCTTTGTATCTGAACTAGCAAGAGCAGCCTCAATGTCTTGTAATGCTCCCAGCCAACGTCTTAATAATTCAATTCTTTCACCCCCACGGCATGAAACCGCTGCCTCTTCCAACCGCATTACTGTTTTCTTGAAACTTTTGAAGCTCTGTGTGCCCTGCGAACCACAATAACAAACATCTTTTAAAAAAACTAGGCGAATGAACATACAGCAACAGTATACTACACCAGATCAAAAAGTCTTCACTCTACTTGTTTCTCCTTCATGTGCAATTATTGTGTGACAGAATAGATGAACAATACAGCAGCTTAAACATAAGATCATCTCATATAAATATAACATATAAACGTATCCAGGTTGGAGTTCGGCTTGCAACCTGACCTGTGACCACTATGCTTCACATACAAAACTGGAGTAAGAATCATACTCTTAATTTGCCCCTTTTATCTAATTTCCTAAGAAAGTAACTCTAAGTCAGACGATGTTTCACGGACAACACATTTGAATAGCAAAGCCTTGGACTCGCTCTGTATGGAAAATGACACACAGGAATCATGAATATTCCTTGTGTAATACATTAAAAAGGATACTTCAGCAGCGAGACTTGCCCACGAAACAACAGGTTTCGCGTACTCGTCACATAGCTCTGCTGAGCCCCCAATTCGAGGTGAACACAAGCTAGGGCACTAACGACGGTAGCCCAATGGCACAAATTAAAGCTTGGATTCCTAGTGTACTGAGTTCATCACATTGGCGCGCAGAGGTAACGAATTAACAACCCCTCAAGCAATCCCCACCCTTGCTTCACGTCGTCAGAAGAAGCTGAATTTGGATTCGTTGAGATCGAACAGGATGCCGGCGGAGAGGGGAGGGAAGAGGGCGAAGGGGGAGGACGAGGAAGGTCCGTGAGCTTACCCCCCGATCGAGGAGGATGTCGGAGACGGCCTGCCCCGCGTGGTGCGCGACGGCGTCCGCGTATCCCTTGACGGCACGGGCAACGCCGCTGCGGCCGCCGGCCTCCACCGCCCGGCTCACCGCGCTGCGCAGCCACGACGACATCTCCGCTCCCCTTTCCTGTTTCCTCCCGCGTGTGCGCTAGGGCTAGAGTTAGTCCTGGCTTCGGATGGCACGGGCGCCGACCACGAGGACGGCAGAGACGACTTCAACTGGAGTGAAGGCAACGGCGAGCGTCTGAGGAGGGCGACGTGCTCCTCTGGATTTGGGTTTTGGACTCTTCCCTTTGCGTGGTTTACTCCGTTGTGACGTCGCCAGCTTAACATTTTTTCCCCTTTTCGGAACCGAGGAAAAAAAATAGTGCGTTATGCAAAAATAGCGCCGCCCTGAAAATATGCTATTAGCGAGATATTGTACATTGACCAATTTAGCAAGGCAATTCTCTACACGCTATTAGCAGTGATATAGCGCACTACTTTTTTTCAACGTCTGAAACTGCTAGCTAGGGCATTTCCAACTGTAGGGCGATCGAGGGGGCCAACCCTAGCACCCTAGCCGACGCAATCCCATCTCTCCTTCCCCTCCGCCGCCGCCGGGGGACAGCGCTGGGCAGAGCCCGTGCGTTCGACGACAACAGCAGAGGGTTGCTCCTCCTTCCCGGGCTGTAAGGTGGCAAGGGCGCCAGATCCGCGGAGGTGCGGCCTCTTCTTCGATCCATGGCGGCGCGGTGGCTCCTGCTGGAGGCGTTTTGTGGCGGTGCGGGGTGAGATGGCCAGAGGATGGAGGTGGGGTTGGGCGTGGCCAGTGCCGGCGGAGGCGTCCGGCCCGGATCCGGTCTTGGCGGAGGCGGCGGCGACTCCGGCCCGGATCCGAACATGGCGGTGGCGGCGTCCCTTTGCCGGGGATGACAGGCCATATGGTGGGTCCTTGTGGCGGTGCCGGTGGCGGCGAATCTTGGGATCCTGCAGTCGGGGATGTCGCAGGACGCGCGTGGCGGCCGGAGCTTCCTCCGGCGTCGACGGCGCTTGATGCGGGATCGTGGCGGCGGTTGCTGTTGTATGGGCGACGACAATGGCTGGCGCGATGTTGGGTGCTCCATGTAGCGCCCGAAATCGGGGCGGCGGCCCCTCTTCATCAAAGGCGACGTACACTGGATCGTGTGGGCGATTCGGAGTCTGGATCTCGAGGTGGTGATGGCCTTCTAAGGCTGGTGGCGGTATGGGACGTCCCCTCCATCAACAGATCGGGTTCGATGCGGCTCGGCAGGTGACACGTTTGCCTCTTTCGGAGTTGTCGGGTGGTGCCTGTCGCCGGCAGGTGAAGTTACCGGTGGATGTGCTACCGGCGGATGCTACGCAGAGCGTCTTATATGGAGATGTCAAGTCATGCCTGCTATCGACAGGTCATGCATGGTGGCTCTGGCGGAGGTGTCATGTTTAGCCTGTTGTTGTCGGATCGAAGGTGGTGCGACAGTAGCGGGAGGAAGGCGGTATGGGACGTCTTTGTCTTTCGTTGTCTCCTCCAGAGGTATCTGGCTGTCGAGGTGTCGGTAGACGGATAAGGGCGGATGGTACAGACGGCTTCAGCAACGAGTTTATGCACTGCGGTGGAAACACAAGATCTCTGATCAGGCTATGTCGTCGCGTGCCTATGTCGTGTCCATGCTGAAGGTGGTGGATTGAACCTTGGCTTTGGGGACGAGAATTCGGAGTTCAACCTTGTGGTGGACTCGCCATCATCAGCGCACATGCTGCGGTCCCTTCTTGGAGGCGTAGTCTAGGAGTTGTATATCTTTTTCGTTTATGTTGTGTCTTGTATCATAGGGATTAGTGGCTATCTGGGGGAGGTACTATCGCGAGGTATACGGCCTCAGGGTTTGTTTTCCGCTTTATGTCTATGTCGATGGTGTTCAGCTGCTGGATTTTGCACTATTAATAATATATGGTTGCATGCATCGTCCTGATTCAGAGGCCGGGGGTTATCCTCCTTTTCAAAAAAAGGGCATTTCCAACCGAACCCTATTTAGGTCTTAGCATCTCTAGCAGATCCGCTACAGATTACAAGTATTGTAGGAACAAAGTATATCTATCAGAGGGTGGGGGTCAATGAGAGATTTAGGGGCAGTTTGGTTCTAGACCTAATAATAACACACTTTGCCATACAATATAATGTTGCCAAACTTGCCTAAGGTTAATTCTTTAAAATAAGAGCCACAAGTTGGCAAGCCTAAGGGAATCTTGCCACACTTTTTGAGTGTATGGAATGTGGGACCCTAGTGGGGCTTGCTTAATATGTGGCTTGAACCAAACATCCACCTAAGTTGGTCGAACTTGCATAACCTTAGATGTGGCAACCTTAGGCAAACTTTATCTCAAACCAAACTGCCCCTTAAAATTTCTTTCGGAAACTTCAATTCTCTTAGAACCCAACAGCGGAAGGAACAGAAACAGTGTACAGTGAGCGATCAAGAACTAGCGAGTGAGAACTAGAGCATGCATCAAAGAGAATCACATGACCGAAGTTAAACATAAAGCAAAGTCCAAATGTAAAAAGAGGGACAGAGGTAACCAATGATGCTCGATGGCGACAAGGAATTTGGTAGACCAGTTTGCCCTTCTGCAAAAGGACTATGTCTAGTTGGAGGGGTTGTGATTTAACATAGAGGATGAACTCTCTTCGCCCTATTCTCCTCGACAACTGATTCGTCAATCAGTGTCGATCACTCATGGTAGATGCTTGAGACGATCTCCGAACTTGTACAGACTTCTTCTTCGACAACCACAATGACTCTTGGTCTCCGAAGAACTTGAGACCTAACCGTCTAGGGAGTTTGCAGCTCTTAAGAGTAACAGGCGAAGCTACTGGACCTGGGTTCAAGTGATAGTAAACCACTATCTATTTTTTCGGCTCTAGGGTTTTCTCTCGGTGGATTTTAAACTCAAAATCACTCAGGACAGAGAGTGCTCACACATTCTTCTTGTAATCTCACACGAAGCAGCCAACGATCAACGTTAGAGTGGGGTGGCTATTTATAGCCGCAGCCTTCCCTGATGGGAAATGACCAAATTGGACATGAAGATCAGCCAATGGCACATTTCCAACAGTCGGAATTTGAGCACAACAGTAACATTCCTTGTGGAGCAAGAAATGCTAACTCCCGTCGGCCCGAAATATATCTCCTTCAGCGTCGAAGAACAACGTCTTCTGATGACAGGTAATCATTCGGAGTCCAAAGAGATTTCTCTCAACTCACATACACTGGTACGCATTGGTGCTATACAAACAGGTTTTAACCCCTTTCCGCGACGGCGGTCGGAACCGTCGCCAAGTGAGTGACAATGATAGGGGGGTCCCCGACATGACACAGAAACCGTCGGGGATATGCCCTCCTGGCAGACACTCGGCAAAATGAGGTCGTGTGTGACAGGCGAGCGCTCAAATATGGTTTTACGTACGGTAGTGCTAAAAAATACAATTATACAGGCAAAATCGTTTCCGATCGTAAGTACATCCCACACAGTCAGTCCCTGCTAAACATTTCTGTTCGTATGTACATTCCATATAGTCCATCCAAGGAATACGTTTCCATTAGTATGTACATCCACACGGTTAATCCAAGAAGTACTTATCGCACGTGTTCTTCTATGACCAAACGTTTGCGATGCGCACAACATCACAAACATTCCATAGTTTCGAAGCGTGTGTGATAAGGTGACTATCGCAAACATTTAATAAGAAAGAACTGTGTGCGATGTTGTTGTTAATCACACACTTTTTTCTTGCCTGGTCGTGTGTGCAGTGGAGATTGATCGCACACGTTTTTTCTTGGTTGATCGTGTGTGTGCAGTGGAGATTGATCGCACACGTAGCAGATCCTAGAAACGTGTCTGATCTCCATGTCTATCGCAGACGTTTCGCTTTCACAAACCGTGTGCAGTGTAATCCCTAATTAATCCCTAATTTAAAAATCATATGTTTTGAATTTGATAGTAGGGAATCACTTATTTCATATCCAACCATATTTATTACAAATATAGGTTCAACCATGAATGCACAGGTACATATACTGAAGAACCACAAAAGCACCAAGTAAAGAATGATGAACCACAGTTGTACCAAAGACTGTAAAGAGAGAGGCGAAAGTCATTCTGGTTGCTGGAGAAGGTGAAGCGGAATGCCCATATTATGCCCTCCTTCATGCGTAATGCGCGCACGACTCTAGGCCAACCCATTGTGATGGTTGCCCGTCCATCCGTCACTATCTTCACTACAACTTCTCGATGCTCATTGTAGTTTGGATGAAATACTTTAACATTCATTGCATGTCCACTAATCATGTACTTTGCGAGGTAATCTTGAGTGAACTGCTTTGGGAACCACTGCGAACGAAAAAGATTTAGACATTGTTGTCTAACAACTCATTATGGGTAGTAAAAAGAGGAAGATGCAAAGTTTGTACTTACCATCCTACAACTCACTATTGTGTTGGATAGAGCATAAACAAATAATTTTCTTGCCACTATTCGTATCTTTTTGCTAATAATCCTTATCAGTTTCCTCACTTGATGCTTGTTCATGAATATTTCATTGCCCCATACGCAAAAAGGGATGATGCGTGGATCCTTGCCAAGGGCATATGTACCTACAAGCAACAAGTCAATATTAAAAACTAACAAGTGCCCAGGCCTGGATCTATACGCACTACATTATGGAACGACGGGGGGAGTACAAGCCAAGAGATGAAGCTAACCTCGGCGGAAAATGGTGGCCACTCCCGTTATTGTGCTGCATAAGTAGTGGAAAGTGTTGGGGAACGTAGCATGCAATTTCAAAAAAAATCCTATGATGACGCAAGATCTATCTAGGAGATGCATAGCAATGAGAGTGGGAGAGTGTGTCCACGTACCCTTGTAGACCGAAAGCGGAAGCGTTAGTTAACGTGGTTGATGTAGTCGAACGTCTTCATGATCCAACCGATCCAAGTACCGAATGTACGACACCTCCGTGTTCAGCACACGTTCAGCTCGATGACGTCCCTCAAACTCTTGATCCAGTAGAGGGTCGAGGGAGAGTTCCGTCAGCATGATGACATGGCAACGGTGTTG